CTTAAATGCAGCAGGGAACCACTGGAGTTTACTGAGCAGAGTGTGATACACTCAGACCTGTACTTTTAGGGAATTCACTTCGGGGAATAAAATGATTTACCTAAGGTCACACAGATGGTAAATAACAGGAATGGGATTTGAACCCAGGTCCTGTGAGTCCAATGCCATCACTTTTCCCACTGTACAATGTGACCCTGTGTCTCATGTAAATTATTATTAGCAGTAGGTTTGGGTAACTCCAAGATCCTGCTATACCCTCCCTCCCTTGGTCCCTCCCAGCCTGGCCTTCCTTCCCTGACCCACCAGTTGGTGGGCTATGCCACATGCCATAAACCTCTTTTGTTAGCCAGAGCCAGACAAAAGATGAACTTGCTGGGGGCAGGGCCGGGATCATAAAGCCTGGGCTAAGGTTTCTTCGTCTGTAAAATAAGGGGGTTGGACAGGATAAGATAAGAGCACAGTAAGATAAATAGGGTGCGATGGTAGTTTGCTCTACTTTGCAGCTGCCAAATGGACATTCCCAAAGCACAAGGCTGACCGAGTCCCACCTCTGCTCAGGAAGCCTCAGTGGTTCCCCATGGCCTCAACGACAAAGCACAAATTCCCCTGGCATTTCACTCTTCACGATCTGGTGCCAGCTTTTCTTTACAGGCCGATGACACAGAACTTCGCCTGACATGCTTCACGCTTCAGTCCGGATGGCCTGGTGGGTGCTCCACCCAACACATTCCATCTCCTCGTCTTTGTGCAGGGTCCTTCCTGGCCCACATGTTGCCCTTCCTTACCTCTGGGATCCCTGCCTGGCTCCCTTCCGGTTTCAGCTCAAGGGCCATCTCCCCAGTCACCGTGAATTTATCTTGTCCGTGTCCCATATAGGGTCTGACCTGGGCATCACTGCTTATCTCTTAGTATATTTTGTCCCTCTGGTAGAAGGGAAGCCCTATGAGGGCAGGGACTGCTTCACTGCGGATTTGCCATCACTGGTCTATAGCACACAGTAGGCACTTACTAAATGTTTGTTGATTGCCTAGATAGAGTCAGCAGCTCTGACTCACCCGGGTCATTCTTGCCCCATGTTTCCATGGAGACATTCCACCATCTAGTACAAATAGCCAGAGTTTACCTAGTGCGTTATGGGCTGTAAAACACCTTACGAACATTCTTTTCTCTGATCCTCACAACCCTGGGGAGTAGGTGCTGTTGCTATTTCCATTTTACAGATGAAGAAACTGAGGCTGAAGAAAGGAAACATGAACCTATGTGCCAAACACTCACAAATATTCTTTAATTTGATCCTTGTGATAGCCCTGGGGAGGCAGATGCTATTATTGTGCCCATTATACAGCTGAGGAAAACTGAGACAGACAGAGGGTAAGTGACCTGCCCAGGGTCCCACAGCTAGGCAGTGTCTGAGGAAATATTCAAACTCTGGTCTTCCTGGCTCCAAGCCAAACCCTGAATCTGAGGCAGCTCCTCACATCCATTAACACTCTGCTAGGACTCTTCCCCCGTGGTTAGCATCCATCCATCCCCTTTTCCTATCCCCTTCCCAGGGATACTGAAGGGCACTTGCAAAAGAACACTCCGCCTGTCCCCCACCTCAGCTGTCTACCTCCCGGACTTTCATCAGCCTCAAGCCTGTCTCTGACTGTTCCCTTCCACATCTGCCCACCCCTTCCCTTTTGCCCTCGAGAACTCCTGCTCTGTCATGAACAAACTTTCACTTTAGCCATCTTTTCCTCTTGCTCCTTCTCCCTTGGCCACTCACTGAGCCCTAGCTCCCTTTGGGCCAACGCTGCCTTCATGGCCTTCCTGTCCAGCCCTCATTGCACCTTCTCTCGTACCCCTTCGCCCGCCACTCTCCTTGCTCCCCATTGCCTCTCTCTCAACAACCTCATCCCCTCTGGGACTCATTCTGCCCAAAATGATCTCCCCATCCAGATCCTACCACCTCTGTGCTACCCCCTCTGGGGCATTCTTCCTTCTTTCTCTCACTGAGGCTCAACGCCTGGCTTATGGACTTTCTTACCACTTCAACTCCTGCCCTCATACTAGGGAACTTTAAAATCCCTGTTGAGTGTTCCTTCAAGCACCCTAACTTCTCTATCTGCTCAGCTCCCGTAATCCACTGCTCATAATCTAGTTTCATGGCTAGTCGACTATTTCCTTGATCTCGCCATCAACCTCCATTGATGGCACATTACACCTCCATGTTTAAGAATTCTACCTACTCCACAACTTTCATATCTCCCATTTCTCCTGTCTCCTCTTAAACCTCACCTTCATTCCACCTCCAATCCCTCCATCTTCAATCCTTCCTCAGCCTACCCCACCCCCCAAGCTCTGGCTATGCTCACCTCCCTTCCCAAGCCTGACCCCTCTAACTGTACCATCCTCTGCTCTCGAATTCCTCGCCTCTTTGTCCCGTTGCCACTTACATCTTGCCAAACTCTGACCCTGAATTATTCCCATGATCCACTTCCTTTGCTGCTCCTCATAGGATGCTGAGAGGAGCCAGAGGAAATCACCAAACTTTGCTGACTAGGTCCACTACAAATTTATATTCTACCTAATTTCAACTGGGCCCTCATTGCATCAGGCAATCCTTCTACTCCTTCCCAGCAGATTCTCTTTCCCAGCTCCCACAGTGGCTGATCTAAACTTTCTATTCTTTTTGTCTTCCCTGGCACTCCATCCCCCATCCCCTCAGCTCAAGATTTTGCTTCATTCTTCAGACAAAATGGAGGCCATTTTCTCTTCTTCCCTTCTCATCTTCCTGACATCATCTCCCCTGTCCTCCTTTACTCCAGTCTCACATTAAGAGGTGGCTCATTTTCTTGCCAAGGTCAGTCCTTGATCCTATCCCTTCCCTTCTCCAGATTTCCCCCACTTTCAGCCTCCTACTGCCAACCTTCGGTATCTCTTTGCCTACTGGTTCCTTCCCTGCTAACCTGTAAACATGACCAAATTTCCTCCAACCTTTAAAAAACCTTCACTAGGATCTATCATCTTCACTAGCTATCATCTATTTCTTTTCCCCCCTTAGCTAACCTCCTTGGAAAAGCCTGTTATTTGGTGCCTCCACTTTCTCTTCTCAAATCTCTGCAATGGGCCTTAATTCACCTGAAACCACTTTCTGCCAAGTTATCAATGATCTTAGCTGCCTTTTCTCAATTCTTAGCGGTCTTCGCCTCTGTGCAGTCTTGGACATGGTTGAACAACCTCTCTACTTCCTCCTCTCTGGGTTTTTACCACACTGCTCTCCCCTAGATCTCCTCCTATCCTCCTGAAAGCTCCTCAGTCTCCCTTACTGGATCTTCATCCGCGTCATGTCCACTAACTGTGGATATTCCTCAAGGCTAGGTCTTCTCTTTTTTTCTCAATGTGGAAGACTCCCCGTGTCACCAACTGGCTATTGGACATCTTGAACTGGATATATACTAGGCCTTACAAATTCAACATGTCCAAAATAAAATTCATTTCCTCTCCTCTCCCTTAACTCCACCCCTATTTGCAACTTGTTTTTTTCTTAAATTTCTATAAATTTCTTTTGTTAAATATTTCCCAATTACATGTAAAAATGTTTTAAATGTTCACTTTTTAAATTTTGAGGGACAAATTCTCTCCCTCTCGCCCCTCCCATCCCTGAAGAAGACAAGCAATACGAGATTATTTATACATATGACACTCTCTCAGTCATCCAGGTACACCATCACACTGTCCTCCTCAATTCACTCACCCAACATCAGTTGCTAAATCTTCTCATTTGTGTCTCCACAAAATCTTGTACACATGCCCTTTTCTCCACTCATATATCTCAGGCCCTCATTACCTCTCATCTGGTCCATTAGACTCCCCTTTTAACTGGTCTCCCTACCTGCCTATTCAAGGTTCTTTCCAACTCTTAGCACACGCTGATTCTCTAATTATGGTACACTGGATATACCACTGGACTTAAGAGTCAGTAGGATTGAGTTCAAATCCCACATCTGACACTAGCTGAGTGATCACTGAACCCAAGCCTTGGTTTCCCCATCTGTAAAATGGAGGGTTTTGGATGCAATGACCCCCAAGGTCTCTTTGAGCTCTACATCTACAAACCTATGAACCTCAAAGGCCTGAGATAAATGACTTGGAATTATTTGATGCTTGTGTTCCCCTCCATAAACACTGAAATGCAGAGGACAATGCTCCCTAAGTTGCCTCTGCAGGCCCTACCACATTAGAACAGGTGTACACCAGGGTGGGGAGGGTAGGGGTGTAAGCGCTGCCAGCCAGCTCCTAGGCGGCTGGCTCTTGAGGCAACATCGCCCTTTCTACACTTCTACCTTCCCATCGCTTGGACGAAGGATGAGGAGGGGATTGGGCAACAGCCTAGGCGTCAGAGAGCCTGAATATCCAGGCCTGAGGGTGACTCACAGCCTGGAGCTCAGGCCACGGACACTAGGCCTTGGGTTCTGGGGCTGCTGAGATGATACTCACCACCTACTATGCTAACAGTTAATAGAGGTGAGATACTTTGAACTCCCCAGATGAAAGGAGCCAGGGAAGGAGGTACCCAGTTATTATCCCCCGCAGAGTAGGGGTGTGAGGATGCTCTGGGTAAGCCCATGTCACTCCAACCCCAGTGGCCATCTCTTGGCCCCTCAAATCCCAACCCCAAAGCACCTTCTTCTGCCCTGGCCATCCCAGGCCCCTGTAAGAACCTCCCACTTCCACTCCCACATACTACAAACCCTCCTGAAAAATCCCCTAGGGGCCACTTCCTCCTCAAGTGTGCCTTCCCAGAGCACACTATGAGGATTCCCCCCTCCGACACCCCCCTTTAACATTTCAACAATCGCTTCTCTAGCTTCTTGGGTATGGCTTCCCTATCAGAAGGCCCAGAGGTCCCTCATGGCAGGGACCAGGTCTGTTCTTTAATACACTAGGAGAGGGTTCAGAGACTTCAGCAAGTAAAATAAAGGCTTAAATCACCAAATCACAGCCACACCGCGTGGGTCAGTCAGTGAGCATTTATGGAACACCTACTACGTGCCAGGTGCTGTGTCTGGCCCCGAGGACATCCCTGCCCTCCAGGAGCTCACACATCTCACACGTGAAGAGGCCACAGAATGGGAGGGACCCGCCTAAGTTGGCAGTGGCCGAGCTGGAGCCTGAATCCAGCTCTTCAGACTCCTCTTGCTCCACTCAACCCCTTCCTCACACCTTTCCCAGCATTCAAGGGTGCCATCCCAAGTCAGCGGCTGTTGTCAATCAAGTGGTTATGTGCTGCCCCCTACTGGCCAGCACCACAAACAGCGTCTCTTTCCTCATTCTTGCTCCCCACACGGTGGACACGATTGAGCCACCCAATGACTTTGAGAGATACTAGATACTGGAACTGAAGAAGGGGGGAAGCCCAGAGAGGCTTTCTCAGCTCTGATTGAAGCATTCAGGGCTGGAGCTGCCCTCGGGTAATTGGTTTCAAGCTGGAAAGGTCCTTAGAGGTCATTCAGTCCAACTGCTTAATTTTAGAGATGAGAAGTGACTTGCCGACACAGAGTGGGTGGCAAAGTCTGAATTCCCAGCCAGGTCTTCTGATTGTGAATCTCGATCACGTGGCCTCCCACTGCGGAGATCCTGAACAAAGACAGACATTCACTGACTCACAGAACATTAGGACTCCAAAGTCAGAGTGTTAGAAGAGGAAAGTGAAGTCCAGAGGGCAAGTGACTTGCCCAAGGTCACACACATTCCTCCTTGTTCCCAAGTGTGACAAGAGTCAACACTTCTCTCTGAGGTTCAGCTTCCCCATCTGTAGGATGGGCATGCTATGTGGTGCAGTGGTTAGAGGGCTGGCCTCTGAGTGAGGACAACCTGGGTTCCAGTCCCATCTATGGCACAGAAGAGCTCCAGGTGCCCCAGACCATACCTGGGAGAGTGGGCACCATTCTGCACTGGTAAAGAGATTCTCTCCCTGGGAGCTCTCTACATGGAGGAAAACAAATCTGATTTAAAATTAAAAAGACCCTTGCCTTACTGTCCTCATAGGAATGCCTTGAGGAACTCTAGAGTGCTAGAGAAATGGGAAATATTATGACAAGGATTCAGCAAAAGCAGCTTGGGAGACAGAAGGTTGCCAAGTCATGTGTATTTAAAGGAACTTTCGCAGTAAGTGACCCCACCCCACTAATGGGGCTGGAGCTCTCTGCTCCCCACTGGGAGCCACGCCACGGCCAGCCCACGGCAGAGGTCTGTGTGCCCACCTCCGAGCCTCCCTTCTGGGGTTCTGGAGTCCTTCACTGGGCTGCACTAGCCCCTCCCTCAAGATCGAAGACGGCTTGTTTCTGGCCCTACTCCAGGGCCTGCCTGCCATGAGCCGCCATTTTTTGGATCTAGGCACACCGCTCTTGCTCTCGCCCCTACGAGTGCATGTCTTCCTGTTCCACTGCCTCTTCTTCTGGGGACGGAAGGTACTTCTCCTGGATTCCCAGCGTGCTAAGGGGCTGGGGTCAAGGGAAATAAGCCAGGCAAAGGAGTGGAGAGCAAATCTGATGGAGTTTCCCTCTCTATCCCACCACAGCTCACCAGGCAGTGACATGCAAGATCTGGCTCCTGTCCACTGACGTACAAAACCCCATAGGAGCACAGAGAAGCCCTCTGCCACCAACCTTCTGAGTCAAAACCCTTTCGGGACTGAAGAATAAGAATCCTTTGGAAAACACAAGCTACTGAGTAGACCATAGCCACTGCATGCTACCCAGCTGGGCAACCTGCCTTTTCTTGGAGGAGGAGGGTCTGGTTGGCCTGGGGAGATGAGGACTTTGAGATTTACGGGGGCAGTAGGATACAATGGATAAGCAGTATGTCAAATGAACTTTGCTTCAATGTAATAAGGCTTTCATGTAATGGCACTGGCTGGTGACTGTTTTGATGGCTTATGCCTCATTCTTCTATCGTTCCCAAGGGCCTTCAAGGCCAGGTTTCAGCCTCTACAGGGACATGGGGGAATGGATCTTTCCTGGACAGCTCCTGCGTGGCTCCTAATGGCACCCCCAAGGTCCTGATTGTCTACAGCCACACACACTGCTCTGGGTGTTTCATTTTCCCTACAATCTGGGGCATTCCATGTTTCTCCCCTCCTCTGGCCCCTCTGCCTCCTGCACACCTGACAAGCTGCTCTTGGGTTCTCCTCTGCCAGCCTCTCCTACTCTGGAGTGGCTCCCCGCACTCCATTTCCTCAGTCCAAACACCACCCTTTCAGGAAGCCTTTCTGAGGCTGCCTCCCCACCTCGGGCTTCATGTCGCTCACACTCTTCTGCACCCATCTCATATTTTCCTGTGTCAGGTACCTGTGTCATACTTGGCACATTCCCTCCACACTCCCATGGCCCTTTACCTGGTACCTCTCTGATGTACCCAGCCTATTTATTAACATGATATCTGTGCTGGCAAGAGACAGTGTGGGGTCATGGAGAACTGGCCTCAATGCCAGGAAGCCCTGGGTTCCAGCCAAGTTTCTGACACACTGTGGTTGTAGGAGCCAAGGACACCAATGAAGCTCCAGGCTCAGTTCCTCTCTCTAATCTATGTGGGCACTTGGGTCTCCTCCTCAGGTCTGAGTTCTGAGGATCAGGGCCATCCCTTAGCTGCCCTCTACCTCCCCTAGGACTTAGCTCAGTGCTCAGCACAGCATAATAAAGGGTATTGTTGTGTCATGGTGAATAGCACTGAAAGAATGGAGACCTTTGTGCCCATCCCCTGGAAGTCCTGGCCACTTCCCTCCTTCCCCCATGGAGGATGACTGCTCATACCCTCCTGCTCTCATCCTCCCCTAAGAACCCCACTCTCCATGCCTCATGAAGTCACCAGTAACCGTTTGACACTTCTAGGCTTAGCCACTCAGCCCGGAGCTCTGGCAGGGATAAGCAAGGATACGAGGTAAAATGGAAGTCAGCCCCCACTGCAGCGGACATCATGGCCTCCAGACTCTGCTGCTCGGCCACCCCAAAACAGTAGCCGTTGGCTTTGTCCACAGCCTGCAGCACCCGTTGGACACTTTCCTTGTCCTGGAGAGAGAGGAGAGAAGAGAGATGGAAGCAAAGACTGGAAGTCATGACACGCTCTCCTCCTTAACAGAAGAAACTCCGCTAAAGTGGCCTCTTCTCCCCAGCCATCTCATCCTACGTCATTCTTGCTCACCCATTCCCAAGGGAATTTTTCCTTCTAGTCCCCTCTGCTTAGACTAAGCTCAGGAGACAATCTGAACCATTCTCCTCCTGTTCCTCCTCCTGTGTCTCACACTTGTTTTCTCCCTGGCCTAGAAGTTAGGAGACCTAGGTATGAGTCCCAGCCCCACTACTTCTTGGTTGTGTGACCTTGGGCAAAGCATTTCCTCTCTCTGGGTCTGTTTCGTCCTCTGTACTCAGTCATTTCTGGAAGGTCTCTTCCAGCCTGAACAGAGGAGACCCTGAGCAGGCTCTAGTCCCAGGCTCCATTCAAGTTGGGCCTGGATTCTGATCACCAGCAGAAAGCTCTCCTGCCAGAGGATGGACATGGGGACTGGCTTGGCTGGGACAGCACCTTCTGCTGTCACTTTAACTGCTCATGCTACTTTCTAATTTACAGTGTGGCTGGGATTCCTCTGAGCCACCAGGGGCTCCCGAGTGAGAGGCTATGGCTGGTTGATGGCAGGAAGGTTCCTGGTACCTGGATATTGAGAGGGATGAAAGAGACCAGGCTGTAGTCTTCAATCAGCTGCACCAGCTTCTCATTGAGCTGTCGATAATGACGGAAGAAGGGGTCTGAGGTCAGGTGGTCAAGCAGATAGGAGAGGTCTAGGACTTCAGTGTAGTAGTCCAGGTTGAAGGCTGTGGAGAAAGGACAAGGCTTAGAAGCAGTATGACGGAGAGCCCGAGGTATAAGTTCATCTGGGAGACCAGAGCCCTGTGTCTATACAGGCTAGGGTGGAATACAGGAAGCCCAACCATAAACAACAAACAAACAACATTCAGGGAATCAGACATTTAGAGGTGGAAGAGACTTCAGCTCTGACAAGTATTAACTGATCAATGTGCCAGGCACTGGGCTAAGCACTGGAGAGACAAAGAAGAAGCAAAGCCAGTCCCTACCCACAAGGAGCTCACATTTTAATGAAAGAGGCAGGTACACCATGACTGACTGAAAACACCTATTACTAAAACTCTTAATTTCTTGGCTTGGCAGAAGGTCCTTCAGAATTCTGATCTTTCAGGGGTCATCCTTATGATTATCCAAGATAATTTTACTGGCATGAAAGTACTGGTTAATATCAGTAACACCGAGTCACTTTGGGCAAATTCTCCCATTGCGCCTCAGTTTCCTCTTCTGCAAAATAAAGGGCTGCACCAACTGGCCTCTAAGGTCACTGCTGGCTCTATGTGTTCTCCCAGAGGGCACATTCCTATTCTATGTGATGATTGAGACTCCCCTCCAACGTAAGCAGGAGGGGACACAGTTACTAACTCCATCCTATTGTTCTAAGCGCATCCTTTCAGCTTCAAAAGGTCCGGTCCAATACGTGGGGATGTGCCAACTAAGCCCTGAGGTCCCCTCTCTCCTGCTTTCAGACATCTCAATCCCATCTTATATCGGTCTTCATTTGTTCTGAACTCAAGTTCCCTGAGTTTCTGAGCCTGCCCTCACATGGCAGCCAGTTCTCCAGTGCCTCCTCCTTCCTTTGGACCACTTCAACTGCCTTCTTCTGGACCTTCTCCATCTCATTTATGTCTTGAGGGGCAGATTCAAATTATCAACAACAGGATTCAAAGTACTGATGCTTTAGGTTTGGTACAAGTTGCTTAAAAGCAGGAGCCACGTCAGATCCTCTAGCTGAGGCCTGACATGAAGCCACGTGCAGACAGCCTTATTCTATAGCTTCTGGCCAGGGCAGCACCACTTCCTGAGCATTTCCAAGCTCAAGGAGCCCTAGAATCGAGAAACGGAAGAGACCTTAGAGAGAATCTAGAGTAGAATCTTCATTTTAGAGTGAGGAAACTTAAGGCCAGAGAAGGGAAGTGACTCGTCCAAGGTCACACAGTGTGTTGATGGCAGAGCCAAGTAGAAATTGGATTTCCTTATTTCTGGCTGTGCTCTTCACCTCTACGTCATCTTTCCTTTAAACAGCTAGGACTACATCCAGGGCCCTGGCAATTCAGGAATTTGCTAACATGGCTAGAAATACTGTTTAACAAGCCCTCTGGGATGGGATAGAAAGAGCACTGCATTTAGAGTCAGAGCGAATGCTGGTTCTGCTACTTTCTGCTGGTGACACTTTGGTCAGGGTACTCGGCCTCTCAGGGCCTCAGTTTCCTTCCCTGTCAAATGAGGGAGCTGGACTAAACGGCCTGTGAGATCCCTTCTGGCTTAATCTAATTGCTCCTTGGGCTCTCCAGCCACCTCTTCACCCCCTTTGATTCAGCATCCACTGGGGTCTCTACTCCCTAGGTCTACCTGAAAACTAGCTGGAGCGGGTCATCATTTGTCTACCATGAAGCTCTACTCCTGTGTCTCCCAAATTTAACCTTCCATGAACCCTTACCTAGCTTCCCAAACTGCTCAATGAGGTCCATCTTGGAGAGGATGTTGACATGGGGCAGCTCTACATGCAGCATGGTGGACAGGGAGGTGCACAGCACAGAGATGAATTTGGCTGGATCTGTACAGTAGTGAGAATCCACTAGGTGGGCAGCAGTCAGCTGAGAGAACAAGGCAAGGCAGAAAGGTCACAATTCTGGGCCTCTCCATGCCAAGAAGGCCATTTGTTATCAGCGTGGCTTTCCTATTCCTTTCCAGAAAAAAGGAGTACTGAGATTTTAAAATACTTTGGAACTTTACCATTCTCATCTTAAGCAGAAAACCCCTGAGGCTTGCCTCTATCATTAAACCAGGGGAATCCTAAAAACTGGGACTTTGTCTCATACATCAGATTGAGGCTGCCTAGAGTGGAGGCCAGGGCAAATTAAAAAGAGCTCTGGATTCGACAGTAAAAACAGCTAGTATTTACATAGCTCCTTAAGGTTTGCAAAGTACTTTACAAATAACTCATTTCATCTTCACAACAACCTTGGGAGGTAGGTGCTATAATCACCCCGTTTTACATATAAAAAACCAGGCATATTTAATGACCTGCAGAGGGTCACATAGCTAGTAAGTGTATAAGGACACATCTGAATTCAGGTCTTGCTGACTCCAGATCCAGCACTCTATTTACTGTGTCACCTAGCTGCCTTCAAGAGAAGAGGATTCAAATCCCCACTTCATACCTAGCCATATAACCATGAGAAGTCACTTTCCCTCTTAGTCTTTGTTACTACCTTAGTAAAAACAAGCTGCTTGACCTTTACGATTTCTAAGTGTTCTAATATGAACTAACTCTGCTTCCCCCCACTCCTGCTCCAATGCAGACTTCCTCATCCCCTCCAGAGGAATCTTAAATCAATTAAACAAGCAAGGACTTATTAAATATGTACCCTGCATTGTACTAGGTGCTAGGGATACAAAGATAACGTGAAATAGTCCCTGCACTCACAAGTTTACATTCTATCTACAGAAACAAGTTAAAAAAAGGTACGAAATACAAGACTTCAGGGCGGAGGAACAGCCCGGAGAGAGGGCAGGGATCAGTAAAATCCCTGAGTCATAGTGGCATATGAACCGAACTTTTAAAGGGGATTTCAGCGGTAAAGATGAGGAGGGCATACATTTTTGGATTAGTGATGCATTTTCCAAAGATGGACCAAGAAAATACCCAGCCTCCTGAAAGTGATGTCATAAACTCATTGCTTATTAAAGCCAAAAAAGAGCTTAGCCATTAAAAGCCTTAAAATGCTGAATCTCAGGAGCAGAGACCACCCTTGCTCAAAATAATGGTAAAATAAGGCTCAAAAAGTCCCTTAGGCCTCTCAGAGCTGGAAGGGACCTTAAGAGGTCATCTAGTCCAAACAATTCATTTGACGGCGGACAAAACTGGGCCTTGCTTGGGTCACTGTAGCCTGTGCGGGTTCACGTCGAGGATAATGGCCTCGAACCCTCGTCTGGGGGGGGGCGGGGGGAGACCAGGGAAGCGCAGGGCAGAAATCGCCTCCTGGGTCACACCCAGCAGCTCCCATCCCCGCAGCCACAAAGCACGTGCTCCTCCGGGGCCAGAGCCACACTTCCGGGGCGAGGCTCACCCGGAAGCCCCATTGGGCCAGCTGCGCGAAGACGCTGCGCAAGGCGCCGTGGTGTGTGCACAGCTCCACCTGACCCGGGCAGTCGAAGAGCAGGTAGTGGCCGCGGAACGGCGCCAAGCGGTCGTGCAGCCAGTCCAGGTTGGCCTCCAGGTACTCCATGCAGTACACGAGGCCGCCGTTGGGCCCCAGCTTGAGCGCCTCCATCACGTCGGGGAGCGTCACCAGTTCGCCGATGTCCACGGCGCATGCGTACGGCGTGCCCTCGTTCGCCGGGTCTAGGTTGACCACGGCTACTCGCCGGCCCAGCCCGGCCAGGAAAGTGCTCATGCCCAGGCAGTACGTGGTCTTCCCCGAGCCCGGAGGCCCGATCACCGCCTGTCCAAAAGTCGTGGGGATGGCCGGGGCCGGAGCCATAGCCGCAGCCGTGGCCATGGTTGTGATCGCGGCTCCCGTCCCGTCAGGACAGTTCAAGACCTCCCCCGTGAGGTAGCGACGTCTGATCGACACAGGTCGAGCGCGCCTCCCGGAAGTCCCGCCTCCTCCGTAGATGACGTTTTATGGCGCGTCTGCGCACGACGCATTTTAAAAGCAGCGCGCGGGCGCGGCAGCGTCAGTTGGAGGAGCTGGGGCGGGGAGGTTGGGAGTGTTATCCCGGCTGGGGGCCGTTCCTCATCCCCGGGCCTGGCCCGCGGGGGCTTGGGAAGTCTTCTTCAAGCTCCTGCCTTGAGTTGGGGGGAGGGGCGGAGAACTTGCGTGTTTCCAGATCCAGGCTTTTGGGGTGAATAGCACTTTGTAAAGCATCTTCTTCAGGTCAGCCCAAGGTAGGAAGTGTAGGAAGTTGCCCTGAGGCCCGGAGCTCAAGTGAGCAGCTCGGAAGGCCCGCAAGCAGTAGCCAACGGTGGGATTCAAATCCAGGTAGAAAAGCAGCGCTCCTTCAGGCTACACCGCCCTGGGGTGTTCAGATGTTGGGCGGGTTCCCTGAGAATCGTGGACTTGTTTACTCTTTCCAGGAACTGTGATATTGAAGTTACTCGAGGGCGTGGACTGGCTTTTGATGTCACATCCTGTGTGTTAAGTCGTTTTTCAGTCATGTGCAGTTCTTTGTGACCCTGCTTGATGTTTTCTTGGCAAAGATAATGGAATGGTTTGCCATTTCCTTCTCCAGCTCGTTTTCAGGGTGAGGAAACTGAGGCAAACAGGGTGAAGTGACTTGCCCAAGGTCACACAGCTACCGTTGGAGGCCACATTTGAACTCAGGAAGATGAATCTTCCTGACTTCGGGCTGGGAGTCACTCCCTCCACTTTGCCACCTGGCTGCCTCATATGGAGGATGAGTTTTCCTTTCATTCACCTTGATAGATATCTTGAGTTGCTGTGGCTCCACAAAAATCTGACATGTGAGCCTGTTTACATGTGGCTAGACTGCCCGAGTCTTGGGGAGAACAGAGTCCAGGATTGGGCCCACACTCTTCCATGGTGAGTTGGGAGTTACCAGTAGCTATCTTCAAGAATCCTGGGTCGGTTTCCCAAGACAAATGGGAGTGGAATATCAACAGACACTTACCTTAAGATAAGGCTGAGCTATTTGCCTCTACTCCCACAATTTTACATTGCATTTTTAGCCCTCTTTTTAAAAGTATTCTTGATATCAGAGTAAACCTTAAGCTGCTACTATGTGTTAAGCACTGGAAATACAAAAGAGGCAAAAGACAGTTCCTGCCTTCAAGGAACTCACAATCTAATAGGGGAGACAATGAGCAAACATACATGGAAAAAGAAGTTCAATACAGGATAAATAGAAAATAAAATTAAGAGAGGGAAGGCATTAGAATTCAGAGGGGTTGGGAAGGGCTTCTGTAGGAAGATGACCTTTTAGTTTGGACTTAAGAGCAGTAGGTAGAAATGAGGGAGAGCATTCCAGGCATGGGGACAGAGAAAATGCACAGAGGCTAGAGACAGTGTCTGGTTTGTGAAACACCCAGGAGACCAGTGTCACCAGTTAGAAGAGTATGCGGTGGGGAAGGTGTGAGACTGGAGAGGTGCAGGTTTTGGGGAGGAGGGAGATAGGTTATAAAGAGCTTTGAGTACCAAACTGTGGATAGGAAGCCACTGGAGTTTACTGAGTAGGAGGTGGGATGATGAGGTTGGACCTGCACTTTAGGAAAATCACTTTAGTGGCCAAATGGAGGATGGATTGGAGTGGGGAGAGACTTGAGGTGGGCAGACTCACCAGCAGGTTATTGGATCTGGTGTGAGGTGATGAGGGCCTGCACCAGAGTGGTGGCCATATGGGGGGAGGGGGCATATTTGAGAAACCCAGCAAAGGTGAAGTTGGCAACTTGGATATGGGTCAGAGATAGAGAGGAATCTAGGATGATTCTTAGTTGTGAGCCTGAGGGATGGGAAGATGGTATTGCCCTCTATAGTAATAGAGAAGGTTGGGGGTAGGGAAAGAGTTTATGGGTGAAAGATGAGTTAATTTTGGACATATTCAGTTTGAAATGTCTGCTGACCACCCAGTTTGAAGTGTCTGAGAAGCAGTTGGGGGTTAGTAGATTGGAGGTTAGCAAAGAGATTGGGGCAGGGTAGGTAGATTTGAGAATCATCAGTATAGAGATGATACTTAAGTCCATGGGAGCTGATGCAATCACCAAGTGAAATAGGAGAGGGCCCAGAACCCTGTGGGATACCTATGATTAGAGGGCTTGATCTGGATGAGGATCCTGCAGAAGGACACTGAGAAAGATCAGTCAGATACATAGGAGAACCAGTAAGGAGTGGTGTCCTGAAAACCTGGAGAGAAGAGAGAGTGATTAGCAGTGGCAAGGCTGCAGAGAAGTCAAGGAAATTGATGACTGAGAAAAGGCCATTGGATTTGGCAACTTTGGCATTAGCAGTTTTGCTGGAATGATAAGGTTGTAAGCCAAACTGTAAGGGTCAAGGGAGTGAGAGGAGAGAAGAATGGAGGCACCTGCTGTGGTGTGGTGTATTGGAGAGCTGATCTTCAAGCCCAGAAGACCTGTGTTCCAGTCTAGCTTCTGACCCAATGGTTGTGGGACCCTGGACACTTAACCTCTCTGTTCCAATATTCATATTATAGGCCAAATGCATTTTTCTTGAAATTCATTTTGCGCTCTCAAAATCAGTCAACCCCTAACCCTACCATAACTGCCAATTTCCCCCCAGATATCCTTGACCAGTGGTTAGACATGTGCTTGAAAACCTTCAGGGAGAGGAAGCCCATGCTATTTCTGGACAGTGCTAATTGGCAGCTTTTCCTACAGGAAGCCTGAATTCCTCTTTGTCACTTCTACCCAGTGGGCTCATGTGGGGCTGAAGTGGGACAAATGTGACAGAGGCTCGAAAACAGTCCCCATGTCCCACCCACCCCGTTTTTTTTCCAGGCTAAACCTTCCCTGTTCCTTCAGCCAGTTCTCCTTTGGAGTGGTGTCCAGTCCCCCGTCTTGTCAAGATCCTTCCTAAAATGTGTTGCACAGGATGGAACAGGGTTCCCCAGGAAAAGTGCAAGGGTACTATTGATCTCGCTTGTCCTGGCAGGATTCTTCTCCTAATAGAGGCCTTTTGTAATACTGAGTTTACTCAGCCCCCCTAGGTCTTTTTCACTTGAGCTGCCCTCTCCCTGTGTTTCCACCATTCTATATTTTTGTAGTTTATTGAACTTAAGTGTAGGACTCAACATCTATCCTGATTAAATTTCACTTCAGAATTGGCCCATCATTCTAACAAGCTAGCACACATGAAACAGTAGCCAGTAGGGCCTAGCATCTATTTTGTGACTGATCACTGCTTGTTGTCATGCCAGTATGGCTCAACTAGTAATTATAATTGAAATAGAATGTAAGCACATAATTAAACTTCAAGTGACTTAACATGAGACAAAAATTTGACACTTTATTTTGGGATATTACTGTCCCAGGATAATCTCTTCAAGAAATTAATTTGTGTTAGCTGGAATATCCACACCCTCAATGAACTTTTTTTTCTGGGGCCTTGGAATCTCATTGATTCCAGCTGTTTAAGAACTAATGAAGATCCATGCTGAATTCAGATGAAAATGTTTGTCAACTTATTTCCTCCTGGAAAGTAGAATATTAAAATCAAAATGGCATCCTTTTTCTGTCTACACATTCCTTAGATTTCAAACAAACACATTAAGCATATGCTAAGAATCACCACGGTTTGGCATAAGAAAGGCACAAATTACATGTAATATCTCCTTACCAAGCAATCTAATACAGTTTTAAATTTATAGAATATGTAATAACTTGCTATCCAGTTCCTGACTACCTTGCCTTACAGAACTCTTTGGTTCCCCTAATAATGTGTTTTGGTGTATACAGTCCCCTATAACTTCATTTACCATTGGGTGAGCCAGTAAATGTGCTATTTGTTAACTCAAAAAAAAAGAACGAATGAAGGGTAAAATAGGGTTGAAGACTGTTAATTAGAAGCTGTGGGGAGAGGCAGGTACGTTCCCTCCTCAAGGATGGAAAACAACTTGGTTATACAAACAAAAACTTTATTCTGCTATGAATCTGTCTTCCCTTCCCAGAAGGGAGCAAGTGGAATGTACTCAGTCTGCCACGTCCCTTCCCCTTCTATCTGGCTAGCACAGCTATTGCTGTGCAGTAAATCTCAAGGGAAAAGATGGTCTTGGCCAATGACGCTCTGCTTTAGAGGGTGAGGAGATAAGACCAGAACTGAAACCCGTGCCCTAAAGAAAAGTCCAGGCCAAAACTGGTCTTGAGATAAACAAGAGGTTAAAATCCATAAGGAGAGACCACTATGCCTGAACGGTGTAACAGAAACAGTGCTTTGTAAAAAAAAACATCACTGGCCTTGAGGTAGCAGATGGGAAGGAAGAGAAGTGACTGGCCCCTGGGTCTGCCCAACCCATTCTCTTCTCTACGAAAGCTTGGGTCCTGGAGCCAGCCCCCCACTTTGGCTTCAAGAACAGAAAGGTCAGAGAGATGCTGTGATCCTCCCACCATATGTGGAGCTCCTGTCCCAGTCACTTGGGCTCTGATGAGCTGTGGGAAAAGCTGTCTGTGCCTGAGCCTCTCACAAAGGCCATATCTGCCCGAAACTTCAGGCTGGTAGGTGGCTGGCGTCGAAGCAGAAGGTCACCCTGGTCCTGAGCAAGGGGTTCGTCATAGATGGTGGAGATGAGCCCCGCGCTGGTCCCACGTGGCCTCTTTGGCTGTCCAAAAGACTGCAGTTTTTCACCATGGTACCTGAGAGAGTGAGACCCTTAATTATGTCATAATGAAACAAGGGAATCTCCTGCTTCCCCATCTTAAGTAGAGGGGCATGGGAAGAGACCCCCACATTTGTCTCAAGCCAAAGGCATAACAGAATAAATCAAAATCATGGATGAATTCCTGTCATCTGTGCTCCTAAAGCTGTCCCCAAGATGCTGTCAACGAGGCCACACAAGATAAGCCACGATCCCAACACTTGCATTTCATTACAAAGTCAATACCACTTTTGTCCACGTGCGCAGTAGCCCATAAAACATGAAATATAAAAGAAAAGCAGCCACATAACATCCCAGGTCTGCTCTCCCCAATCTGAACTACCATGAAAAAGATGAGCTGAATGAATAACAAAAAAGAAGAGTACCCATTTCTGTTTTCTCCCCAGCAGTCCTGTGAGGCAGGCAGAGCAGGTATCATTTTACAAATAAGAAAACAGACCTCGAGAAGTTGACTTCCAAGAGGTCACAGAGCCAGGTAACTGTCAACTCAAATCCAGATCATGTGACTCTGGTGCTGTTCTCACTCCATTCCCCCTCCTATTCCCCTAGTAAATAAGGACCTGCTGCCACCACTACCAGCTCATTAGTGAGGGACTAAAGGGGGGTGTGTGTGTCCCTCTGCCTTTTCTTCCCTTAAAGCCCCTTTAAGACCAGGCATCTGACTGGGCCAGGATGGGGGCAGCAAGGTGACCCTTTGTGCCAGAGCCATGGCCAAGACAGCATCAGTCCAGTCACTCTGACTCTGTCATTGCTTATCTTTTCAAATCTGTCCAGAAACTCCACCTACAGGAACCTTCCAAGACAAGGAAGCCCACTAGCTCCCCAATCAGCAGACCCAAACCAGGGCCATGATTCCCAAGCCAAGCTGATGGAGGGAGGTGGGGAATTCTCGAGAGCTAGGAAGGCTGGGAGCTGGACAAGCTGGCTTTGCTGCAAAGAATGACCCTCAACCACACTTACCCTAGTCCACGCTTACACCTGGGGTTCTGCCCATCACTGTCCAGGGCCTCAGCCACTCCTGAGCAGCTACTGCCCAGGCCCTGGCCCTCAGCCCAGCCTTGTCGCTCCATCACCTTCCTTCCTATACCCTGGAGAAGAAAGAACAGGAGTCAAGTAAGCGCTTTCCAGTTGTAAATGGGAGGAAGTACAAAGTGGAAAAGAAGGAATCGAATTGTGGGTTAGGCATGAGACCCACCTTTGTGTGACGCTCGAAGGTGCCGACTTGGTGGTTGACCACAGAGCCGTCTTCCAGGCCATCGCGTAGTCTCTGTTCCAAGTGCATCTGGACTGAGTCACGAGCATCCTTGTCTCCACCATCTGAGAAGTCAGAGCCCAGTTCAGGAAGAGGCTAAAGTCCAGCCAAAGGTGCATTCAGTACAGGAGAGGCAGGGGACTGACGGCTTCCATAGTACTCAGTGAGGGCTAGATTTCTCTCATTTTGGTTTCTGTTGCATGTCTGTGACCTCTGCTTGATTAGATCAGCAGCTCCCTGAGTGCAGGGAGTGTCTTACTTCTTTCCCCTTCAGACCAGGCTATACTAAATAACAGGGACTGTGTATCCTCCTCAGCCTATATGGGCTTCCTGAGAGTCGAAGCTATATTTTCCCATCAGACTTGGGCTCCCTCAAGGGAGTGATTGTGTCTGTAACCAGACCAGAAATTCCCAGAGGCAAGGGAACAATTCTACCAAACTAAGGGTTTTTCAGGCCTCAGTGTGTCTACTTCTCAGAATGGGGGCAATTCCCAGGAATGGGCCCATTGCCACTCTATAAGACTGAGATTTGGGACTGTTTCTCTTTCCTCCTCCTACCCCTATTTCCTTGGTCTCCAAAAGGCATTTCTTTTAGAAATGGAAAGATTAAAAACCAAGAAAATCATAAAAAGGGTACCCTTGCTGGGTTATTCACCAAACCATGGAGGGAAAGGGACAGCCTCCAACTCCAGATTCATTCCCTTGCTCCCTTCCTGGATCCCATCCCACACTACATAGGGCAGGGAATTGGACTGGGGTGGGGGAGGGCAAGGAGGACTGCAAATCACCCAAGAACGGGTCACTTGCACCCCAGAGCCCTGCCTGGCCAATTACCTTCTTCGTAGTATATGCTCATATCCACATCCCAGTCATCAGCTGTTTGCTCATCAAAATCTGTAGGGACAAGACAAATGAATACATTTTCAATTTCCATGACTTTCCACAGGCTGCTCCTTATACCTGGAACGCATGCCCTCTGCCTCTCAGAATGCTTGACTTTTTTTGGGGGGTGGGGAAGATATGTGTGCTATTTAAGAAAAAGTTTACGGATGCTCTAAAACAAGAACTGTCATGATATCCTAATCACCACTCCCAGCCCTGAAGAGAAGCCTTCCTTGGAATAAACCTAAGCAAAACAAACAGATGCACTGCCCGTGTCTGGGAACATATCCTATTCCATACCTACAGCCCATCACCTTCCTACCAAGAGGAGCAAGGCATGTTTCACCATTAGTCCTCTGGAGTCAAGCTTGGTGGCTGTACACTGTTGTAGTCACTATACAGACTGTTTTCCTAGTTTGCCTGCTTCATTTTGTATCTGTTCATACATGGTGGCCCAACTGAATTACTCATATTTTTGGCTTCTTACAGTGCAATAATAATGTATTATATATCCATACACCATGATTTGTTCAGAAATTTCCCAACTTAAGGGCACCCACTTTATTTCTACTTCTTTGCTACCGTAAAAAAACTGCTATAAATATTTTGGTACCTCTGGGTCCTTTTCATGTCTTTGCCTTTCTTGGGGTAACTCTCAATTGTTTTTTTAAATTTTTTTAGGCAGTTGGGGTTAAATGACTTGCCCAGGGTCACACAGCTAGTAAGTGTCAAGTGTTTGGTCTGAGGCCAGATTTGAACTCAGGTACTCCTGACTTCAGGGCCGGTGCTCTATCCACTGTGCCACCTAGCTGCCTCCAACTGTTTTCTAGAATGGTTGAAACAGCTGAAACAATTCATAGTTCCACCAACAATGTGCCTGCCTTCCTATAGCCCCTCCAACATTTTCCAGTTTTGTTTTCTGTCACTGTTGCCAATCTGAGAGGTGCAAGTCAAAACCACAGAGTTTTAATTTGTATTTCTCATATTATTACTGATTTGAAGCATTTTTCCACATGGTTGTTGCAAGTTTGCCTTGTTTTTCTTTTTGTAAAAATTTGAAAACAAATCACATGCCCAACAATTTGAGAATAGCTGAATAAATTGTAACATATGAATGTTATGAAATATTACTGCATCGTAGGGAATGATAAATATGAATTCAAAGAAAAATTAGAAGATGTGTAGAAAGCGATACAGAATGACAAAAGCAGTACCAAATGGAGATACATGCTTACTACAACCGTGCATTACATGGCAATGAAACTCTGGTCAAATACAGTGGACAGTGTTGATACCGAGTTGTTAATGTCAGAGCACAAACAATAAATTTCAGAGTTAAAAGGCTGCAGAGCCCTGTAGTGGATACATACAGATGTCCTGGTACTGAGCTGCCTCAGAGATCCTTCAGCAATCAATATTCAGACAAAGCAGCAGCAGGACCCAAGAATACAAGGCAGTACCAAACTCAGCCCAGACATTCCTCCAGAACATAACTGGGCCCTGACACCAAAATCCCAATTCAGTAAATAATGCTGGAACAAAGACTAAAACAAAACGACTCACACTAAAAAGCTATAATAGAGATGCCCAAAACACAAACTCAGAAGAAGAGAATGACTCCAAAACACCTACATGCAAAGCCTCAAAAAACCCCTCAGACACAGGGTAAATTAGAATTCCTAAAAGAAATTAGGTAAGAAATTTTTTTAAAAAGTTAAAATGATTGTATACGTGAAATAAGAGAGTGCTCGAGGAAGGAAATGGAAGAGAAATGAGAGCTCTGGAGGGAACACTTGGAAGGAGAATTAACTGCTTGGTCCAAGAAGTTCAAAATCTTACCCAAGCAATAGACTTTTTAAAAATTAGAATGAACCAAACAGAAGTTAATGATTCCCTTGGACAACAAGGCATATTAAAGTCAAAAGACTGAAAAAATTAGAAGAAAATATAAGGTTTCATATGAATAACAACCTCCTTGGAAACCAGATGGAGAGATAATTTAGGAATCATTGGACTACCACAAAACTGTGACATATACCCCACCCTCGCTCCAAACCAGCCTGGATATAATATTTCAAGAAATCATGAAAGAAAACTGCACAAATCTATTAGAACCAAAGAACAACATGAAAACAGAATTATCTCCTGAAAGAAACTGCCCATAGGAAAACTCCCAGGAACATCACAGCCAAAATCCAGAGCTTCCAGATCAGAGAAAAAACAGTGCTAGCAGCCTCAAGTACCCACAACCCACAACCTCCATAAGAGAGTAGAGATCTTGGAATAGGGTATTCCAAAAGGCAAAAAATAATATCTTACAACCAAGAATAACTTAGCTATCAAAAGGGGGTATAATCCTACAGGGGGAAAAGTAGGCCTTTAATGAACTAGAAGACTTCCAAGCATTCCTGAAAAGACCAGAACTGCATCAAAACTTCGAAACAGAAGCATGAGAGCCAAGAGACACCTAAATGCCGATCAAATGCTTGCATTCTACTGGGAAAGATGGTACAAGTGTCTCCTCAGAACTCTGATGTTATCAGGAAGCAGAGAAAGAATTCCATAGAAAAAAGCCCTGGGAAGGGTTTTGTCAGATTTTGATGATCTTGAAAGAAGAAAGGAAAGGGAGAGGGAAAAGGGATATGTTACCAAAGAGACTCCTACCTGCATGATGGAGGGAGTCTGCCCACGTAAATGAAATCACAGGTCTAAACCAAAAAGGGATCATTTTACACTCTTGCTTAGTGGTATTCAAGACTATACAGTCATGCATGTTTGTGTCTTTTTTTTTTTTTAGGCTGGCCTACTATGCCTAAACTAGATGTATTTAAAAAATAAAATGCAAATAACCGACCTCACATGATGGTTGTAAATACAGTGTAATGGAAATATGTCGAAAAGAATCCCCGGGGAACACTTAGGTAGTAAAGCTGATGTTCATGGGTATCCCAGAGACAGACCCATTCCCCTGCTGCCCAGGGCCCAGGTGTAATTACATCCTGTAGCACAGAGAAAGAACACTGCTTTTGTGGCCAGAAAACCAACATTTCAGACCAACTCTGCACTTAATAGCTGTGTGACCCTGGGCAGAGTGATTGCTTCTCTTCAGGCCCCTTTTCCATCACTCATGCAACAGGGACGATCATCCATGCCCTGCTTTCCCCATGAGAACAGCAGTGTGAGGTCAGATGAGGTGATGGGCAGAGAGACCCCCACTGACGAAATGTGAGCTGTGAGCCTCATTACCTCCTTCCTCTTCTTGCCAGTACTGAGCATCTGTGTAAAACACGAGCCCAGAGCCGCCCTTCTCCCACTTGAGCTCAATCTCCTCCTCAAACAGCCGCTCGGCCATGCGCTCCTGGCCCGTCACATCCTCGTGCAATGCCTCATGCCGCTCCCACTCCTCACATGTGTCATTGTCCTGCAAGGGACAGGAGGGGTGAAGGGGACAGGGAAAACAGGCCAAGGCCATGAAAGGCTGGCTGTACATCCCTCCTGACGTCATGCTACCTGAGGGAGGCAGCATAACAAAGCAGAAGGAATGGTGGCCTCAGGATGAAAAGATCTGGGTTCAAATCCTGGTCCTGACATTAATAACTATGTTACTTTGTTGTTGTTATTGTTCAGTCATGTCCAGCTCTCGTGACTCCATTTGGGGTTTTCCTGGCAAAGATCCTAAAGTGGTTTGCCATTACCTTCTGCAGCTTGTTTTACAGATGAGGAAACTGAGGCAAACAGGGTGAAGTAACTTGCCCAGGGTCACATAGCTAGTAAGTGTCTGAGGCCAGATTTGAATTCAGGTCTTTCTGACTCCAAGCCCAGTGCTCTATTCACTGCAGTGCTATCTAGCTGCCTTCATATTACCTTAGATAAGTCATTTACTCAGCCTCAGTTTCCTTTTCTGTCAAGTGGGGACAATAGCATTTACACTACCTACCTTACAGGGTGATTGTGAAGAGTACACTTTGTAAACCTCATAATGCTATAGACATATGAACTATTATTATTATTATTATTATTGATTCATCTTTATCTCCCACTGCTCTGAAATAGAAATCCCCTATTTCAGCCAGGCTGGCCCCGTGCTCTTCCCTACACATAATGGTCTCATTTTCACCTCCAGGTCTTTGCTTAGGCTATTTATTTATTGCCTTTCCCCCTCCCCTTACCTAATTCTTCCCCATCCTTCTTGATCATAATCACACCTGACATTTACATAGTGCATCAAAGTTTGCAATGTGCTGCTTTTCAAGACACCAGCAGCCTCACCTTCTCTGAGCTGAAGCCTCTCTTCACTGATCACTTCAGCCTACACTCAACTTTCCCTGACTTCCTTGTACCCAAACTCACTACCACGACAGTACCAATATCGGTCCAAACACAGGACCAACTGTTTGCCCAAATCAGGCTTGGGGGATATGTGACTGCTATCTTCAAGGATTTAGAGGGTTGTTATCACACAGAAGAGGGATTGGCCTTGTGCTGCTTGGAGTAGATCTAGGCACAATGGGTGAAGGCCATAAGAGGCAGAGTTAGTTTGATGTCAGGAAAAGCCTCCCAACAATCAGAGCTCCTCTCAAAAGGAGATGAACTGCCTCTGGGAGCAGAAAGTTCCCAGTCACTGGAGTCTTCAAGCAGAAGGTGACGACTCCTCACTGGGGATGGTTCCAGTATCCCAAAAGTCACAACCTCTTAGGGACTAAGTTTCTTCATTAGTAATATGGGACTAGGCGGCACAGCGGATAGAGTGCTGGGCCTGTAGTCTGGAAAATTCATCGTGAGTTCAAATCCAGCCTCAGACACTTACTAGTTCTGTGACCTTGGGCAAGTCACCTTCTGTACCTTAGGTTTGCCTCAGTTTCCTCATCTGTAAAATGAGCTGGAGAAGGAGATGGCAAACCACTCCCAAGAAAACCCCAAAACAGAGTCAGAAAGAGTTGGACGTGACTGAAAAACTGAACAACAACAATACTGTAGTATCTGCTTCAGAGGATTGCTGGAAGACTCAAATCTTAAAAGTGCTATGTACGTATCAGTTATTATTATCATTATTACTACTAGAAATCCATAACTGTGATAGATTGGGCAACCTGTTATAATGGAAAGAACTCCTGAGAATTAAGGGGAATATTTATGCTTGTACTGCTGAGCTCCAGGATAGCTATGAGGATCAAATCAGAAAACATACTTTGAAAAGTGTCTGGGGCTGCACACATCAAAATGCTTGAATTGACAACAGTAACTAATAATAAATGCCTGGGCCTCTTGGTGTGGTCAGCCAGGACATGACAATGTCACTGAACTCACATCATCTGAATGAGACTCTTCCTCTTCGTCTTCCTTTGGCCCTCCTTGGGTCTCAGCTGTGATGGGGGTGGGACAGGATCCTTGAGGGGTTGCTGGGATCTCCTCTCCTTGGGCTGTGTACACCAGCTCTTCCTGCTCGACAATTTCCATGTCTTCATACTCAAAGGGCACGTTGCCGTATCGCCGGGAGGAGCCCGTCTTGGGGAACTGCAGCTGCAGCTGGGTGATGATGCGGGGGGGCAGACGACAGGCTTGGATCAGCTCTAAGAAGACATGCATTGGGGTCCCCACGTTCCCATTGGGCATCAAGGCTGGTGGGTTCAGTTCTGGCAGCTGCTTAAGGTCAGCCAGGGTGAAGACTTCACTCACAGCCTTCCTCTTATGCAGCTCCTTCCGGGTTTTGAAGGGAAAGGGATCGACACCTTAGAAAAAGATAAGAAAAATCCTTGAGGAGCAGCTAGGTGGCGAAGTGGATATAGCACTGGCCCTGAAGTCAGGAGGACCTGAGTTCAAATTTGACCTCGGACACATAACACTCACTACCTGTGTGATTCTGGGCAAGTCACTTAACCCCAACTGCCTCACCAAAACAAACAAACAAACAAAAAAAATGCCTTGAAACAGAAGGTGCGCCAGTAATCACGTGTAGACGTGAGGACAGAATTAGCTCCCGCCTCCACAGCTCTGATTTCGTAGGTTGCTACTGAACACCTTGGCCAGATTTTCTGTACCTAGGCAAGTTGGTCAGCTGGTTACCTGTGAAACCTGGACAGTCTACCAGCGCCATGCCAGGAAACTGAACCACTTCCATTTGAATTGTCTTAGGAAGATTCTGAAAGTCACCTGGCAAGATAAGGGACACTGAGGTCCTTTCTTGAGCTGAATTGCCAGACACTGAAACTCCGCTACAGAGAGCTCAACTCCAATGGGCTGGCCAACTTGTTCAAATGCCAAACGTTAGGTAGACTTGAGTTCAAATCCGGCCTCGGACACATAACACTTACTAGCTGTGTGATCCTGGGCAAGTCACTTAACCCCACTGCCTAGCCAAAAAAAAAAAATCCATTCAAATGCCAAACGTATGTTTGCCTAAAACACTATTTTATGGAGAACTCACATGAGGCAAGTACTCACTCAGAGGTCAAAAGAAACAATACAAGAAACAATACACTCTCAAGGTCTCTCTGAAGAACTCTGAATCAATTGTGAGACATGGGAGACACTGGTACAGAACTGCCCTGCATGGTGTGCCCACATCAGAGAAGATGCTGTGCTCTATGGGCAAAGCAGAATTGAGGTAGCTCAAGAGAGCCATGAGATGTGCAAATTCAGAGCCATCTTTACCCCCAGTGTTCATATGGACTATCTGTGTCCACCCTGTGGTAGAGCCTTCCAAGCTCATATTAGTCTGATCCGTCACAGTAGGACACACTGTACCTTGACCCTGACATAATGATGTCACTTTGGTCCTTTTGGAGAATGAAGGGCAACCAACCAACCCACCTTAGGCAAGTAATGTGCTGTGTTAAGTATAGTAAATATGAAACAAGGAGTGTGGAGATGAAGGTTTTAGTCCCCATTCTGACACTAATTACCCATATGGTCTTTGGCACCTCATTTCTCCTTTTGGATCTACTTCACCTTCTGTCAAATGATTGAGAATTGGGCTAGAATCACAAATTGGTAGAGCTGAAGGGTATAATTCAAGATATTTATTAACAGAGCACTATATAGGCCAGAGGTGTAGGGGTGGGGGAAAATACTCCACATGGTGGTCCATGTTCTTATGAAGGGTTCTGGCCAAATTAAAGGGGAGCGGGAAAAGGGAGAAGGAAACAAGCATTTATTAAATGCTGACTATGTGTTAGGTGATGCAGTGGGTAAAGCACTGGGCCTGGAGTCAGGAAGACTCCTCTCCCTGAGTTCAAATCTGGCCTCAGATACTTATTAGCTGGTGACCCTGGGCAAGTCACTTCACCCTGTTTGCCTCAGTTCCTCATTTGTAAAATGAGCTGGAGAAGGAAATGGCAAACTACTCCAGGATCTTTGCCAAGAAAACCCCAAGCAGGGTCACAAAGAGTAAGACACAAATGAAGTGACTGAACAACAACATTATGTGCCAGGCACTGTGCTAAGAACTTTATAGATTAAGCTGTCTCCAAAGGTCTCATGATGGAAAATGCTATCCACGTCCAAAGAAAGAATTATGGAGTTTGAATGCAGATCCAAGCATACTATTTTTTTTCTTCTGTTTTGTTTTGTTTCCTCTTTCTGGTGGTTCCTCCTATTGGTTCTAATTCTTCCTTACAACATGACTAATGTGAAAATATGTTTAACAGGAATGTATATGTATGACCTATATCAGATTGCATGCCGTCTTGGGGAGGGAGGGGGAGAAAAATTTAAAACTCAAAAGCTTATGGAAGTGATTGCTGATAAATCAAAATAAATTAATAAAAATAGTACATAAATGTATCAGAGAGGCCAGGAACAAACCTGAATGAAGCTTTTCCCCATGCCTGGAATTGTCTCTCTGCACTCCTAGCACTAGACAGTTTGGGTCTGTTTACATCTTGGCTCTACCAACCATCTGACCTGGGTGACCCGATGCAAGTTGCTTAACCTTGACAGATCTCAGTTTCTTCATCTGAAAAATGAAGAGGCTGAATACAATAAGGTCCAACTCCATGACCCAAATGCGATGCCACTTCTTCCATAAAGATTCCCCAGCAAACTTCTCATTCCATTTTCCCTGGGCCTCTCCTTGACACTGACCCACTCGGTCATGTATCAGTTCGGAGTGCATATGTCTTTCGCATTAGACTGTAAACTCTTCAGGAAAGTTTATGTCCTGCTGCTGTTTTTCTCCCCACGGCTTAGCACTGTCCCCCAAGCCTAGTAGTAGATTGGTTGAATAAAATTATGTGAACAAAGATGTTTATGGGAGGGAGAAGCAGGAAGAGGCCTTTGACCTTATGATATCATTTGGTCTAAACCCCTCCTTTAAACTGATGATGAAAAGGGGCTAGAGAGTAGGTGGCTTGTAAAAGGTCACTTCATGAAGTCCTGGTCCATTTTTTAATGGGTCTATGGAATTCTGTTTTCCCATGGGAGGAGAGGAGGAGAGTAAGCCCCCATTTCTTCCTGCCACTTCATCTAGTTAAGGGAATTATTAGAGAAATGATAAGCACTAATTACTGCTCATTAGTGAGAGAGGGGAGGAGTGAAGAGCCCAGGAGAAGACCCCTGGGAGGCTCACCTCAATCCAAAATTTCTTTAACTTTTGGTGGAAATATACTGTGGTGGTGTTTAGTGTCCAGCTTGTCCCTTATCTCTAGTTCTGTCTAGACCCGTCTAGAATACTATCCTGGTATGCCAGGAATTCTGCCTGGTTGTGCTCCAAGATATCAAGTCACCAGCAGCATAGGGTTGAATTATTTAAGAAAATGGAATATCTCAGTCCCACCTTAAGGTCAGCATTTGGACAGCTCTTTGGAGACTACCCAACAGCTTTTTCCAGAAAGCCCTCCTGGGGAATATGTTGTGATGGGAACACTAGATTTGGAGTCAGATGCCCAAAGTTTAATTTCATCTTGACCACTTAGTTGTAGGCTACCCAACAAGCATTTATTAAGCACCTATTTTCGAGTTACTGTGGCCTTATCATTTGGACAAGAGCCTTTTCCCCTCCCTGTGCCTAAGTCTCCTCATTTGTAAAATGTGAGTGGTCAGATTAGATGATAGCTAGAGTTTCTCCTGCTAGTTCCTGGTACTGTGATCCTACAACCTTATCCCCCCCCCTTCCCCTAAAAGCCCTGCTTCTGGCTGTCCCCCAAGGGTAGAAGGCATTCCTTCCTCTGCTCTGACTACTGACCTCCCAGGCCTTCTTTAAGACCCAACTAAAATTCCATCTTTTGCTGGAAACCTTCCCCATTCCCTCAGTGCTAGTACCTTCCCTCTGTTAATTACTTCCTATTCATTCTCTGTATAGCTTTGTTGTTGCTGCTGAGTTGTATCCAACTCTTCTCAAACCTGTGGACATATATCATCCACGGTGTTTTCTTGGCAAAGATACTGGAGCGCTTTGCCATTTCCCTCTCCAGTAGAGTAAGGCAAACAGTTAAGTGACTTGCCCTGGGTCACACTGTTGGTAAGTGTCTGAGGCCGATTTTGAACCCAGATCTTCCTGATCCTAGGCCCAGTTCCTTATGTACTGAGCCATCAACCCTGCCCTATATATTTGTATGCAGCTCGCTCTGTATGTATTTGTTTGCATGCTGCCTCCCTCGTTAGATTGTAAGCTCCTGGAGGGCAGGCACTGTCTTTAGCCCCTTTTTGTATCCCCGGAGCTTAGCATAGAGCCTGGCACCATAGTAGGCATTTAATCAGTGTTTACTAATTGACAGATTGGGGCGCCTAGGTCCCAGCCCTTGGGGCAGTACTTACCTGCCTCCTGAACGGGGAGCCGGAGCCTGCGGATACAGCAGCGTCCGGGGAGCCAGTTTCCCTGCGAATCGAGCCAAGGGCGGCCCGAGTACATGCGGAGGAGCAGCTCGGCCTGGGCCGGCCCCCGCACTGAGATCACGCAGCAGCAGGTGGCAGGAGGGGCTGGGGCTGAGGACTGAGCGGGAGCCGCAGCCGGCTCAGAGGACAGGGACGGGGCGGCCGGGGCTGCGGTGACTGGGACCGGGGCCGGTTCTGGGGCCAGGGCCCGCTCAGGGCGGTGCCGATAGTGGAAGCAGAGGAAGCCGGCGTCGCGGCCGCCGCGCTGCTCCCGGAATTGGCTGAAGTAGTTCCTCAGCTGGGCCGAGCGCAGGGCCGTGGGGATCCCGCTCACCACCAGGTACACCGGAGCCGAGGCTTCAGACGCCACCTCGGCCACACTGGGCGCCGCCATTTGGGTAGTCACATGACATACCAGCTCAAGCTCTCGCGAGAGGCGGTGGTGGCGCTGACAGGATTATGGCCTAGAGATGAGGTTACGTCAGTTCCTTGACCCCGGAATCCGGGGATCGATGGCCCAGCAGCCCCGGATGCGGTCAAGGTCTGGACTGGAGCGCCGCCTGGAGGCCAGGAAATTGCGCTGGAGGAAGCGGCTTCACAGAACCACAGGAAAATCTTTTCCTTATACGTCCAGTGCGCTCACAATCTTACACAAACGCCCCGCCCCTACCAGTAACCTGCTAGACCCGCGCGCGGGGTCGCGGGGCCGAGACAGGGGTCGTTGGTTTTGTTATTATTGTCATTTTCACTCCAGCACCGGCGGAACACCTGACACGTGGGTTCCCAAGAAGCAGCAGCCACACACACCTTTAACGAACTCGTTGAGTCCCCACCAATGTGTTTCTTTTGAGTAGGCTGTCCGGAGAAAATTAGTTCTAAGCAAAAGATATTTAATCAACCACGTAGCCCAAACAAGTGCCAAGAAAGGTTCTCTAGGGATATGGGGTTAGGGTGCGGCAGTCAGAAAATACTTTCCCGGTGTTTATCACCCATCAGCAGGCAAGCAAATGTACCAAAGAAACAAGCTAGGTAGTGGAGCAGATCTAGTGATGGACTTGGAGTTAGGGAGACCTGGATTCAAATCCTGTCCCAAAAGGTAGTTCTGTGATCTTAGTCCTAATTTAGTTGATTTTGCTCTCAGTTTTCTCATTGGGTAAATGAGGGTAGTATTACCTGCAGTAATTACACGCCGGCGTGAATTCCGGCTGGGCATTGAAGTCCTGCAGCGAGGACAGGTGGGCGGCTGGGGGACTCCTCAGTCACAAGGTTGTTCACGTTGGAAAATGTATATGCATGTATGTATGTATGTATGTGTATATATATATATATATTGCTTTTGAGAATCTAAAAGCACCTTATAAATGTCAGTGACACTGATGATTGAGGAGTGGCACACGCATGGAAACACAAAACTAGGACAAATAGTGCCTCTGAAGCTAGTCAGCTTAAAAGCTGGAATAACTCAAGTGCTGGAGAAAAGTACTAACTCTGGAAGGAGGTCCTGGGTTCCCAATCCATCTGTGACACTACCTTTGTGGTCCTCAGTTTTCACATCTGTAAAATGGAGTTGAACTAAATGGCCTCTTTTTACTTTCTGGCCCTAGATCTATAATCCTATGTGAGTAATGCATGGGTCTTTGTTGGGTATCAGTACTGAATTGTTTCTTCTCCTGCCATCTGTTGGACATTTAACTAGGGTTTGATTGATATATATATATATATATATATATAGGTAAGGTAATTCTGATTAAGTGACTTGGCCAGAGTCACACAGCTAGCAAGTGTTATATGTCTGAGGTCAGATTTGAGCTCAGGTCCTCAGACTCCAGGGCCAGTACTCTATCCACTGTGCCATCTAGCTGCTTGTTTTTTCAGAACAAGTTTTTATACTGTTCCCACCTCCTTTTCCCCACAACAAGTCCATAGATAGATTCATGGAGGTGGGGGGGGGGAGAAGGCTTCCATGAACTTGGTTGAGAATACATATTTTTAATATAATTGGTTTCTTTTGTAATCATGTGTATTTTATTTTACATTTTAAAACATTCTGAGTAGGAGTACATAGGTTTTATCAGACTGCCAAAGGGTTCCATGTCAGAATAAAGTTTAAGAACCACAGCTCTAAGAGGAAGGGGCAGTCTGCCAATTTTTCATCTTATAGTCCCAGGCTATATCTTTAATTGTATATTATGACTTATACCCCAGTAGTCAGCACCCACAGCTATTAGCTAAAGCAATCACTAGATATTTTAAGGTCTAAAATTTTAGTCTAAAGTTTAATTTTTTTTCTTGCTGGGGCTCTCAGTCCAAACTCATATCAGTTGTGGATTCTAATTTCTTTTAATTCCTATCAAACCCTTGAGTCACTAGATTCAGTGCCTTTCCGATCATTCTAGGGACTTCACTTTAGCAGAGTGGGTCAAGGCTGAAATTCTTTTCAAGCTTCGTGACAGCAGTGATCACCAAGCAAATCAACTAGGAATTAAGAGTGAAGAGAGGTGCAGCTGGTCAAGCTGGCTGGGGGCCTAAAGCCATTTTACTCCTTACATTATAGTGTTATTCATACCATGTTGTAGACCCTTCTGCAGCAGTCAGAGCTGCCTCCCCCATGCCTCTTCCTTCAACCTCAAAAATGGAAATTCTCAAACCCATTTCCTCTTGGCCTCTTTCTCTAATAGGACCGTAAAGGTCTGAATGGGAAAATTAGTGAAATTTTGGCCTAAAGACAGTCTGGGTTCTTACTAACAAACCCAAACCGGACATGACTGAAATTTATGTGAATATAGGTGGGCCCCTGTTTGGACCTCACTGTCATCATCTGCCAAATTGGGGGAGGGATGTTGGACCAGATTAGCTCTAAATTAACTGTAACTTTTCACTTCTGACAGTCTGTATTCTAGAGTCTCTCCTAGCCCCCACATGTGATATTCTGCGCTTTACAAAATGCTTCTCATGGCAATGATGAAGATGATGAATAGAAAGATGAGGATGTTTGTTTCCCAAGGAACCCTAGAGGAACCTGACTCAGTTTTAATAACCTAAGTCTTTCTCCTCCCCTGCCTGGAGTTGCTGGTGACTCAGTCCCCTGGCTTGGAGCTGGGGGCAATGAAGTCACTGAGGAAGTAGAATCAGGCTATAAACACTGTATGAGTTGACTCTAGAGCACTTGACCCTGGCTATGACTCAAGTCTGTCCTCCCTCCCATAAGTCTAGAAGAGACTGATGTAAAAAAAAAATGTCTCTGGCTTGTTCCTAGTAGGAAAAGCCCTGGGACCCTGGGGAATCAACAGAAGAGGAGAAAGTCCAGCCCTAGCATGAAAGAGGAGGGGAACAATGTGACCCAATCAGGAAGTAGACATGATTATATACACTCAGGCTGAAGAGAGCAAACCTCATCAATGCTGAGGTCATGGAGTATGAACTGGGAGGGAGGAAGAATAGAGTAAAGAAAACTGTGGGATTAGACAGGGAAGACTCCTAAAGGACAGAAGGGGTGTTAAGTAGAGTTTAGAAAGGAAGGAGAGCAATCTAGAGGAATAGGCTGTAGTTGGGAGGGACTCATTCAGTTTTAGGAAGATCAGCAAGTTTGGAGCTCACTGGTGGGCAGGACAAAAGCTGCTAGCTACCCTCTCCTATTCTTTTTTTTTTTTGGCAAGGCAGTTGGGGTTAAGTGACTTGCACAGGGTCACACAGCTAGTAAGTATTAAGTGTCTGAGGCCAGTGCTCTATCCACTGCACCACCCAGCTGCCCCCAAACCATCTCCTATTCTTGCTGAGTAAGTTCCCCAAGGATGATTTTCTTGACTTGGCTAAGGTCCTGAGGGGAATTGAAAGAAATTTTCTTTCCTTAGTTCAAAGAGTAGACTGAATTCAAAGGGTAGAAGCTGAGGGAGAAGAAAGGCAGTTTAGAAAGACAGACTTAGTTCCTGGTTGACAGGTTGGCCATTATTGTGTGTTTCAGTCATAAAAGAACGAAGAAAGGTGATCTAAAAGAGGAAAGTCCTTCAGAGAAGCTGAATTTCAGGGGAGAACCAACAGAGAATAGCTCAGCTCAGCCCAAATATGGCAGTACAGTGGAGAGAATAAACTAGAAGAGAGCCCTAGCAGCGTAAGAGTGGAGAAAGCACTTTACCAAACTCCTTGCCTGATACTTAAACCAGGAGAAGAGATAAAGCAAAGAATGGAAATGATAGACCACTATCTCTAGTAAGTGTTGATAGTAAAATACTAAAATATTAGCAAAGTTACTACAGTAATATATATTTTTTCTTTTAGGAGGTAATCAGGGTTAAGTGACTTGCCCAGGGTCACACAGCTAATACACGTCTGAGGCCACTTTTTAATTTCAGGACTGGTGTTCTATCCGCTGTGCCACCTAGCTGCCCCCCGTAATGTATTTTTTTAAATTATTCACTGTTACTGGGTTAGATTTATGTCAAGACCAAAAGAATAGTTCATCAGTCAGTCAATGAACACTTAATAAGTCCCAACTATATTCCAGGCAGCTAGGTGGTGTAATGGAAAGATTGCCGGGAAGTCAGGAAGACCTGACTTCAAACCTGGCCTCAGATACTTCCTAGCTGTGTGACCCTGGGCAAGTCTCTTAACCTCTGTTTGCCTTAATCCGCTGGAGAAGGAAATAGCAAACTGCTCGGTATCTTTGCTAAGAAGACCTCATAAACGGTGTTGATGTCATAGGTCCACGGTGTCACAAAGAGTCAGACACGGTTGAACAACTGAACAACCACAAATATGCCAAACCTTGTGCTACATTCTAGGGATTCAAAGAAAGGCAAAAGCCTCTGCCCTCAAGGAGCTCACAATCTAATAGGCAAATAATTGTATACAAACAAGTTATGTAAATGATAAATTGGAAATAATCAACAGAGTGAATGCATTAGAATGAAGGAGGATGTGGAAAGGGTTCTGACAGATGTGAGATTTTTAGTTAGGACCTGAAGGAAGCTAGGGAAGCCAGGAGGTGGATATGGGGGAGAGCATTCTAAGCATGGAAGACAGCCAGGTTTTAAGGACCTTGTTTAAGAACCAACTAGGAGACCGGTGTTACTGGAGCGTGGAGCGAGTACAGCGGAGGTGAGGAGGTGGGGCCAGGTTACGAAGGGCTTTAAAACCCAAACAGAGGATTTGTGTTTGATCTTGGAGGTGATGAGGAGACATTGGAGTTTATTGAGTTGAAGTTGGGGGTGACATAGACCAGTGTTTTAGGAAGATCATTTTGACATCCAACTGGAAGACAGACTGTAGTGAAGAGAGACTTTTAACAGGGACACCAACCGCAAGGCTATTGCAAAATTCCAGGCAGGAGGTGAAGAGATCTTGAGTGATGGCAATGTTGAAGGACAGAAAGGGGCATATGTGAGAGATGTTAAGAAGGTAAAAATTGATAGGCCTTGGCAACAG